TGCCACCTGCCAAGTCTCATTCTCTGAAAAGCGAGCCTGACAAATGCTGGAACAATTTTCCTGACAATTTCGTCTCTCAGTAGGAAGGAAACAATGGAGGAAACAAGGCAGACACTCAACTCATTTTAACCAGTGGAGACACTGATAAAAAGGGGAAAAATCAGAAAGAATAAAGAGGTAGAGGTATTTCCCCCTCACTCCTAATCCTGCGCCCAAACATTATGTATGAAACTCCCAGTGTGATTTAGATACGTCCCCATGGGGTGCTGGCCCTTTAAAGTTAGCAGTGGGGTGTTCCGGGTACTGGGGCCAATGGGAGTGGAAGGCGGTGGGGAGCAGGCAGCGGGCGGAGAGCAAAACGCAGGCTTCACATCCCTAAGTTCAAATTCCAGGTGCCCCTTACAGGCTGCGTGACTCCGACATGCTACTTAACGTCCCAGCTCCAGGTTTCCTCACCTGTAAAATGGGGATAATACCACCTTCTTGGGGTAATATTTAAATGAGACAATGACAAAAAGCACTTAGCTCAGTGCCTGATGCATAGGAAGCAAACAATGAACATCAGACATTTATACAATTATTGTTACCTTGTAGGAGATTTCTCTACAATTCTTTAACCTTGGGATTATCTCATTTTCTACAGTGATTTGCTTGCTATTACTCCCACTAATCTTCACGGCACATAATGCAAACCCTAACAGAAAAATAGTAAAGTGATCCTGTCCTCATTTCCATGTGCCATCCAGCTGAACAACAAATGTGCGTAAAGCTCTCAGAAGTCGCTGTGTTAGGCTGTGCTGCATGGTGGCAAAGGGTCGTTTGAGGAAGAGACAACCTGTCATTAAGAAGTGCACGATCTGTGGGGAACAAAGCAGAACAACCATTAATTTCTCCTAGCTGCGCTGTAAAGGTCAGGCTGTAGCCCGGCTGGCAGTGACAGGGAATCCCCCAAACAGCCACAGAAACATGTCCTTGGTATTTCAGGATGTCTTTGGGTTAACCGTCCAATAGTATTTAAGAAGTGGATGACTCTGAGAACTGTATGGGCAACAAAGAGTGGATTTCACATGGGTTGGTCTTTAAAGTTGGTCACTCTGGGTAGTGTACATGTATTAAGAGAAAGAGAAAAGGGGAGAAATAAAAAAAGAGGTGAAGGAAGCATCTAAGCATGAGGTGCCGAGGTGCAGGTGGTGGGGGAAATCACACGCAAGGTAATCTTGCTCACCTCCAGTGCGTGAAGAGGTGCGAGCTGAAGGTGAGTGAGTACAGCAAGCCTGGCTTGGAAACAACATAAAGGGACTACATCACCAGACGGTTTTAATGTGTGAGCTCGGAGAGCAGATATACGCGTGGGCTGATGAGTCGTCCCAGATGCATGAAGAAGAAGATGGCTGACATGAGGAAATGGCAACTAATTACTGTCTCTGGGCAAGAAGATAAAGCTAAGGGACCCCACCTTTCCTTAACCAAACTGCACTGTAAGTACAATAAGCTGCTCGAGTGTGCAGAAAATATCTTAAAACCAAAAGTCAAGCGTCCATAACGGCATGTGATTTACGAACCTGTGAAAGCCTGGTGCGACCTCAGCTGCGGTTAGCACCACAACCAGGCAGCAGGCCTAGGACATGTAGCCTAGGACACAAACACAGAGGCTGGGCCAGAGGCCAAGCTGGGGCCTGAGGGCCCAGACAATCAGAACGAGCAGCCTGCTCCGTTATCAGCCAACCTCTAAAACACTGCAGCGAATTAGCAGGAGGACCTGTGGAGGACTGATGCAAACTTTAAGAAGATGCACAAAAAAACTGAGTTTATTCCATGTAATCCATGTTAGTAAATTGTCAGTACTTATTTCCAGACTCTCATAATAAAAATAATTGTTTGTACATATGATCTATATGTATATATACCTTGAGACCATGTGGAAAAATAAAGGAAAATGTAATACCTGAGTCTAACCTAGGGAGACAATGGCAAAGGGGCTTCGGGGACTTGCCCCAGAGTTCTGGATGAGACTAGAGGATAGAGGATAGGGGCTTAGAAAACTAGAGGACAGTGGAACCAGAGCCCCTGTGTCATCACCTGGACTTNGTACCTGCCATTTATTCATCTGACATTTCTTGAGCATCTACTATGTGACAGGTACCATGCTAGGTGCAGGAAATCATGGACTAGCAAGCAAGAGAGACACATCTACAAAAAATGAAAATGGTGTGATCAATGCTATAAGAGATAGAAATGTACATGATTGCACAGAGGAGGGACCAAATTCTGCCTGGAATTGTCACAGGCTTGAAAGAGACGACATTTGAGATATGTCTTTAAAAATGAATAGGTGTTCACCTGGCAGGCAAGCTAAAAAAAAAAAGGGAATTCCATGTACTACAGAAACAGATGGAATAATGGTGGTAGTGATTTACCCACTAATATATCACATACTATCTGAGCTAGAAAATAATAAACATACATAGGACTTAATTATGTGCTATGCATCATTTAAAGGTATCTAGAGTAAGTCACTTAATTGTCAACACATAAGGTGAGTTCCCTTATTGACCCCATTTTTTAAGAGGAGGAAACCAAGGCTCTGAGATTGTCAGAGTTAGGAAGCAGCAGAGAAGAAATTGTTACCCAGGCAGTCTGGTTTCAGGATCCATGACCTTAACTGAAAACCTTAGAGATCACCTACTGATGACATTTCAATAATGGGGGGGAAAAGGGACCTTGAGCAGTAACTTAGGGACAAGGTCTTAGATCGCCTTTGTATTACATCACACTGCTTCGTCTGCCCTGGCTCCCTCCCGATGATCCCCATGAACTTTCAAATCAAGGGGTGCAACTCAAACCACCAGGTGCTTAGCGAGATTCTATACAGCCCCCTGTGGCCCACACTGTGCCTTCGTCACTCCTCATCTATTTGCATAACACATTTTATCAATTAATGATCTGCCACTATGGTAAACTGAAAAAAACCTAGAAGATAGGAACCTAAGACACTTGCATCCTTGTCCTTGCAGTGCTTAAAGCTAACAATGTGACATTAGGCAGATTTCTTGAACTTTCTGACCCTCACGTTCCCAAGAAATGAAATGAGGAGGGATCAAATGGTCACTAAGAATGAGTGGTTTAAGGGTTCTGGAGTCAGACCTGGATGTGAATCTAAGTGCTACCACTCATGAGTTATGTGACCTTTGGCAAGTTAATCTCCCTAAACCTCAATGTGCTCATCTGTGAAATAGGTGTATTAGTACCTATTTTATAGAGTTGTTATAGTGATTAAATAATACAGTGCCTATAAAAATATACAATGCAGGAGTGTTCTTTAAATGTTAGCTATTATTACCATCAGCGTTAATAGGGTCATTGCACCCTACATTACTTATACTTGGGATATTTTTATGGAAACTTCTATTTGTTCAATGTAATATTTAATACATACAAAAACACATGCACCATATATGTAAGTTAGAAAGCAAACAAAAATAAGTTAAAGAGTAGAACACCACCAATAGTACCATGGCTTAAACCTGTGTGCTTCTGCTCCACCCAACTCCCTACAGCTTCCCCCAGTTTCCTATGGTAACTCATCTTGAATTTTGTATCTATCATTCCTTCCCTTTCTGAATAGCTTTCTCACATAGGTGCCTATCCATAAACATATTGCTCCCTTCTCTTTAACCTTTATAAAAATAATATGGTAGACAAATACCTTCTGAAACCTAATATTAAATCAACATTGTTTCTAAGAGTTATTCTTGTTACAGCCTGAAGAGTAATTCATTTATATCGCTGTATTAACATGCCACTGTGTGAGCATTTGTTGATCCATTCTCTGTTGATGAACCTTTGGGTTGTTTCTGGTTTTGTACTATTATGTATGCTGTTGCCATGGCACCCTTGGACATGTTGCTTGGGCCACATGGGAAAGAGTTTCCTATAGGGTGTACCTTAAAGGTGGAATAACTAGGTGAAATCTCAACATTACAAGTTAATGACAAAATGTTTTCTCAAAAGGAAGTGCCAATTTACACTCCNCCAGAAGCCGGCAACTGATCTGCCTCGCCTGGGAAGAGCGCAATGATGGTGCCAACTTGGGCCAGTGAAGCAACGTCCTCCACAACTAGACTGAAGAACGAAAGGACAGCAACTTGTCTGTTCCCCTTCCCCCAATTCCCCAGCACTGTTCCCATCCCCCCAATTCCCCAATAAAAAAAATCTAAAAAAAAACAAAAACAAAAAAGAATCAGTGCTTCTAAAATATATCCCAATTCCATAAAGCCTGTAACTTTCAACACGGTTTAACGGAAGGATCAGTAATACAGCCACGGTACTGGATCTTAGGATCTGTCCCCCAGGCTGCAGACATCTAGAAAGATTACTGAGAGATCATGGTCTCTCAGCCATTCTTTTGAGTAAAAGACCAAGGTAAGTGTATCAGTCGGGATCCTGGCAGGAGACAACTGGCATAAACTGGGTAATTCCAGAAGAGTTTTAAAAGGGGATTATTTTTTAAAGGATTACTATTTACAAAAGTGGAGCTAGAGAGGAACCATAGGCAGATAGTGCAGGGCCCAGGGCTGGTAGCAGCAGGGCATTACAGCACTCGGAGAGAAGCAGGCAGCGTGCTGTGTGCAGGGGACCTCCCAACAGTAGTGAAGACAGTGAGCTGGGGACACAGACCTAAAACTCAGGTCAGCAGACAAACAGGCATTCCAACACCACCCTCCGCCCCTTCGTTATTCTCACACGTTCTCCCCTGGGACTTAGTTAGACAAAATGGTCCAGGCCTTTGCCTCTCTCCTGCATCGGATGCTAATCTGCATGACAACTGTGCTGAACAACATCAGCAGTACTCAGACTGACATCCAGGCGAGTCACAGATACCTGTTAATATCCACCGAGGTTCCTGGGTCTGAAGAACACAGAAGGGTGTCAGCACACTCAGATGGCCGCAGCAGACACATCAGCGATACACACAGCGATAAATGGAGGACAGGCTTCTGCGTCCCTTCGAGTCCTTCTCTGGAGGGCACACAATGGAAAGATAAGTCTGTGTAACGAGCTCATCAGAGCCACGAAGGCTCACCCTCAAACCATATCTGCACACATTCATTCTGCCAGTGGCTAAGGTGGGCGTGACGCATTTTATCAATCCTGTTCTCATCCTGCACACAATCCCACTCGGCATGAACACAGGCCTCATTTGTCACCCTCAGTTCCATCTCCCAAACTGATTAAACGCTGTTTTCCGAATCCAGAACCTGTGTTTGTTGCCCAGATGTTTGCAGTATCATACAGCCACACCTGTACACCAGCTACAGGCCCTCTCCTGTCAAAATGTTACCCCAACACATCCATCCAGTCATTTCCGCCCAGACACTGTGGGACGCACATTTCTCCAGGGCTTTCTCATGCACATCTTGCTGGGGGTGCTAAGCAGGCAAGGCCCTCACCACTCTTCTTCGGGGCCACTTCTTAGTGCGGTGTTTGCAGCAGGTGACCTTGAAGGACGAGGTAACGTGTCCGTCAGCCTTGCTGACTGCTCGCTACATAAGCAGCGGGTCCCCAAGCTCAGTGTCTCTCTCCTTAACAAAACCCGTCTGAGCCTTCTCCATCCCCCGTGGGACTTGCAGACGCAGGAAACTGATGCCAACATGCTGATGTTCATGTTACTGGCTGCGCTGGGAGTAATAGGATTGTTTTTCTCTGACCCAGAAGTTTCATTTCTTCTGCCTGCATCCATGACACGGTGATAGGCTAACTTATTAGCTTGTAAATAGGATAAAGTCAAATTCCAGATCAATTTGATCACCACTGCTTCGGGCGGCCTATTCTAGTTATTTTCTTGTTGTCTCTCAAGCCAATACCCCCATCTATACTCTGTTCTATACCATGGGGTCTGGGATCCCACAAGCCATTTCCTAGGCTCCCTTTCCAGATGCCTCACTGTTGGTAGTGTCTGCCAACACGAAAACTGGCAGATGAGAAGAAAGGAGAGAGAGAAAAATCCTGCTTCTTACTCCAATGGTGTGGCACTTGGTGGCAGTTCCTTTGATTAGGGAAAGGACCGATGGCTACAGACTGCAGGAACCTGGACGAAACCATCGATTCAGTGTCGCTAGTCCTAGGCAAGGTGACACCTCTTCACCGCATCAGATACAAACAGCAATGCAGCAACAGGTGCAGGCCCATAGGCACTGGCCCAGGGAGGGTAGCCCTTTCTCACTTCTGGGCATCCTCCCATCTCCTTCTGGTGCCTGCAGTGCCCCTTTCTCCTCCCTTCCCCTCTCCCCACACATTTGTAAACAATCTCTTACATTAAATTCCACCTGTTTGAAATCCCAATTACTGGTTTCCATTTTCCTGACTGGGCGCGGAAGGATACCCAGTCCTCCCACCTGTCTTGTGGTTTGGTGTTCTAGTTTCATCAAAGGCTTACCACACATTTCTGTTTCTCACTCTCCTTTGGGGTTCTGGGGTGTCTTTCAAGAGGAAAAGGAAACTTGTTTAACCTGCAATGCTATTTTCATATGGCAGCTCCTGCCAATAAGTCTGTAATACATGTTATTTTTGTTATTTTAATACCGTCCATATGTGATCATTCCAAAATGTACATCTTCACGCCAGGCCCTTCTTTGGAGTGCTATACTCCCATGTCCATCTACCCATGTGACTTCTTTACTAGGCTCTACTACAGACTTAACATGTGCAAGACAAAACCTTAATTTATTCCCATTTAAAAAAAAAAAAACTCTCTCTCACTCCAACATCATCCATCCGGTTGCTCAAATCAGGCACCACCTATGAATTAATTTGATTCTTCTCTTTACTGTAACCCCACATCAATTCATCAATCACTTTATCTATTTTAATTATAAAACATATCTCGCGTTTTCCATTACTGCCTCCATCCTGGTCCAAGCTACCATGACCTCTCCTCTGAACTACTCAATGGTCTCCTAACTCATTTCTCCACTTGTAATCTTCTCCCC